TACTATAATATGAATCAAAAATCTCATTTTTTGTTAAAAGTCCCCAGAATCCATTTTTAATAGCAAAGCTCCCATATGTATCTAAAACTAATAATGATTGTGGATTAGAAAGTCTTGCGTATTTAACCCAAACATTTTCAATCTAAAATAGCATTTTATTTTCATTTATCCATCCATTGGATTTAGCATGAACAATAACTTCTGATAAAAAGTTTTCTTTTAGTTTTTTTTAAGTTTAAAGATTATAAAAGGAGGAAGTTTGATTTCATCTACCATACAGGTTAAAACTACTGTAAAAATTAGTTTTTTATAACCTATTATACAAATACTAATAGTTTTTGCTTTTACTTCATCAATAGTAGTATTAATTGATAAAACAAATGTTGTTTTTCAAATAAATTATCTGGCAAATACTATGCAATAGTAATTCTATAATGATTACTCAAGTTGTTACAACTCATCAAACCATCTAACTATTTATTACTAAAAACAAAAGGTTGTATATCAGAACAAAAAGCTTGCAATTTTGGTTGTTATGTTAATATTTTTCTTTGACTTGAATCATTTTTTATGAAACTGCTTATTGGTTACCTTTTCTTTCTTTTACTCATTCAACTAAAGCTGTTTCCAAAGCAGGATATTTTAGAAGTTTACCTTTATTTAAATGCTTTAGACCAGATCATATCTTAATAAATTGTTCTTTTTTTAAATAACCAATCACAAACTTGTTTAGGTTCAATGTTGCTATCCTATTTTTGCTATAATCCTTTTTATAATTCATAATAATTACAAGTTTTCTCTTACATTTCATATTCTTTGCAATTTTTTCTAACACACTTGCATAATTGGTATTATAATTTACACACAATACCATTTTATTTTATGATAGAATAATAAAGAAATGACAAATTTATGTTGAGGTTATAAAGATAGAAAAAAAACCAAAAATAAAAAATGAAGTTAAAAAAATCAGATCGCATTATCCATCATTCATATTATCTAAACATAAAATGAATGTATTTCAAGAAACATTAAAAATTTAAAAATTTAAAAAAAATTTAAAAGTAAAATATAAGATGATCGACAATTATGATTAGTATCACTTTTTATTGTATTTTCTTTATGTACAGTTAAACCTTGATATAGCGAACCCTTGATATAGCGAATTTTTAAATCAAATATATTAAAATTACCTTTACTATAGTGAACTAGCCAATTAAATTCTTTAAAAAATTCGTTATAAGCTTATAACGAAGTTGATATCCAGATCCTAGAATTCGTTATATCAAGAGTTCATTGTAATATCCCTCTCATGTAATATTCTTCTCTAAATATAGTACTTTTGAATTTGAAATACTATTAAAATTAAGCTCAGATTTACTTGAATAATACATAATACTAATGTCAACGCTATATAGTATCTATATTATTACAATAATTATTATTAAAATAAATATTAATAATAGTCTATATAAAGTTAAATATTATGATAAAAATGATTTAAAAATATACAAATTTAGAAAATTTACTCAATTCAGTAAAGCAAAATCTATAAAAACTAATATATATCAAAATTACAGTTATCTTCAAATTAATGATTAATTATATTTTTCACATTATTTAACTATTGTAAAAGCAGATAGAAATAAGAATAAAATAAGAAAATCAAAAGAATTTAATGAAACATATATTAAAAATGGTGATTATTATAAAGAATATGAATTATCTTATTTTTTAAATTTAAACAATAATAATAAATTAAGTTTTAATTATTGTTTGCTATAAATATTAAATATAATAATAATAATATATATTTTTCTAAAAATAATTTAGATATAAAAAAATAATTTAAATCAAATTAAAAGAAAAAATTAAATTATTATCAAAATATTTATATAAAAAACAAAGACTATTATATTTAGAAATTGAATTAGGTCCTAAAAAATTTCAAAATATAATTAAAAAAGATAAATCACAATTAAAAGGTTTTTTTTGATAAATTAATTGATATTTTTCTTTTATTAAATAGAAAATTAATAATATAAAAAATCAAAAAAATCATCTTATTGGATATTGTTATTAATTATTTGATTTAAAAAATAAATTTAATAATTCTCTTTAATTAGAAATTGAATTTTATTTATTTTTATATGATACAACTTCTGAATCTATTAATATAACAGTCAAATAAAATGTCATTATTTGCAAGGGTCTAATTGTTGTTCATAATATTGTCAATCATTTTTTGTTGATCATTTATATGAAAAATAATAAAAAAAATAATCATTTCTAATTCGATCTGTTAATAATTATATTTAGTAACCATATTATGATAATTATAAATATTCTCCGATTGTTATAGAATTTAAATTAATTATTTTTTTAACATTAAGTCGTGATTTCAAACTTTTAACTTAGTAAAACTACAGACAATACGAACTTATACAAGGGTTGTTAATTTTTAATTTTTGGGCAGCATTAAATTTAAGATCTACATAATTCTGCCTAATTTAATTTCTTACATTATTTAATCATTTTTTAGCAACTTATAATTCAATTTTATTTTAAAATTTTATTATTTGAAGATTTCACTAACATTTGAAAATAGAGAGTTTTTGGAGTGGTTTATATGAATAAGATTGTAAAGTATTATCCTCATAATATGACTGCATAAGCACTATGATCGCATAACTATGATGACTACGACCATTGTATACGCATGTGAAAAAATTGTGAACATGCTACAATGCAAATAACGCCATTAAACACCATTATTAATTTTAATAAAAATTACTAATTGATGTTTAGCGTAATCGTCTTGTGACACAACTTTGCAAATTATCTATCAGATCGATGTTGCATATTCATTGGATTCGAATAGTCCAATTCCAATTAGTTTTAACAATTATATTATAATAAAAAGTTTATAATTTATAATACATTATCAAATTTTTTTTTTTTTCAATTAAATTATAAAATTTAAACTTTAAAAAAGAAATACAATTAATTAAGAAAGGCTCCATAGATCTACAAAAATCAAAGACTAAATCAAATTTTCATTTTAAAAATAACATGTAAATGCAAATGATATGAATAAAAAAATACAATGCAATCAACACCATCAAACGCCATTATTAATTATGAAGAAAAATTACTAGTTTAAGTTTAGCGTAATCATCTTTCAATGAGAATCCAATTAATTAAGAATGTGTTCCATATGATCTGCAAAATCTTTTTAAATAACATATATGCTTTAAGTTAAATTATATGTCAATTAAAGTTTTTACTAATTGAGAATAACCAAATACTTTTTTTTTTATAAATAAGCGAGCATTTTTTTTAATCCAAACTATAGTATTTTCATAATATAACAATTATCCCACAATTATTAACTTTAATTTAATCTCACTCCTTTTTCATTTATTGATATTAATAAACAAATTCAATATCTTGTTTCTTTTTTTTTTAAAAAATGAGTTTTTATAAAAAATTGGCAGTGAAAGTTACTTTAATTTATTTGGTAATTTAGAGATTACGTCTATGCCATCAACTCCAATTATAAATGATGATGATGAAACACCATCTGATATAATCATCAAAAATGAACTAGTGAAGGATATAGATAATGAAATAGATTTCAAACAATCTTTTAAACAAGATGAATTTTTTTCTTTTTTTAATTTAAACGATAACATTGAACGTATGGATAATTACATTAGTTTAGATGATGATTTTTTTGAAATGGATTCTTTTGATGAATACATAATAAATAATGATAATAACAAAGGTAAATAAAAAAAATGCATATTCTTTTTATTAATAATAATAATAATGACTTTTTTATCATAGATATATATATTAAAACTGAAGATTCTGATGACGAAAATAATATTACAGAAATTATAATCGAGGAAATTGACAAAGTATTTCATTCAACTTGTACAATCATGACTATGGATCTAAAAGCTGAAAATATTACTAAATGTCAAAACTCTAGTATTCGAAAATTATGGCAGTTGGTTGGAATTTGGGAAGTTAATTCAGAATCTGTTAAAGAAGTAAAGGCTGAACCTAGTAAACTCAGTGTTTGTAAAACACATTTTAATTTGGATCAAACCTTTCATAAAACAGGTCTTAAAGCAAAAATATCAAAAGAATAATCTATGATTACAATTAGAAGATGTCTCTTTTGCAATTTAGATTTTTATATTATATTTTGTGAAAAGTTATGTTATTCACATTCTTGGAGTTTAATCAAAAAATATCTTTTAATTCCTTGTATAGCATAATTTTCATGTTCAGCAATACAAAAAAGTCGAGAATCATTAATTTTTGAAAAAATTTCAGAAAAAAAGGCTTTAAAATATTTACGTTATATTTGTCAAATTTGTTTTAATAAAAATGGTAGACATATTCACATTCCTCCTGGATAAGGAAAAAAGCATATATCTTGTATAGAAAATAATCATCACAATAATGATACCGAAAAAAGTTTGGAATTAATTAGTAAATGGATTTTAAATGTTGCGAAATCACAAGATTCATTATTACAAGCCCAACTTTTGTCTCAATTATCTTATTTATTAACAGTAAATAATAAAAATATTTTAAATATTCCTTTAGCAAGTATTTTACCGCTAAGCTTATTATGGTCAAATCAGCACTTAAAATTGGAAAAGCTAATAAAATTGCAATAAACAAAAATCTTCAAATATCATCACAAGAAAGTTATGAATTTGGTCAATTTTTAGGTAAAAACTTATTATGTTTGCAGAATGAGATACGAAGAAAAAAAAGAAATTTTTTCTAATCCATCAACTTTATTAGAATATTATAATGCTTTTCCAGAAATAATCACCAAGTTTTTTTTGGACTTATTGAACCATTATTAAAAAAATGACATGAAAATGCACAAGCTCAACGAAAAAGTAGAGCAATTCAAAAAGGAGTTGAATATATATATCAAAATTTAGATACATTTAAATCAATTCGTATAGTATTCTTCTTAACTTCTGTGATTCTGATTATAGCATTTAAACATACACATTTTTGGCTTACTTATTTATTAGCAAGTTTTTGTTGACAACCTTCATTTTTACCTTCATTACAAGCTATTTTGCAAGCCGCTCATATTATTGCACATACACAAAAACACAAAAGTAGATTAGAATTAAAAAAAATGAAAGAAATTTTGCTAAAGAAAAAATTAATTCATGGATCTCACATTTGGAATCTTGCTGTAATTGACAATATTGATTTTATGGCAAAATTATTTTGATGAGAAAATTATATGATTCCTCTCGTAATACTTCACATGCAACTCTACGAATGGTTTTTCAATTTATATTACCACTTTCTCTTTATGCAATAACTTCAAAAAATTCATTAATGATACCTAATAACCGACGAAGTTTATTTGGTTATAATTCATATTCAATAGAAACTTTAGAATTATTTACAGTAGTTTTTACAATGTGAATATATTGATGGATATTTATATTTTTTTAATAATTTTGACGATAGTAATATTCATCAAAAAATTTTATTGTATATTTCAAAAGGATGCTATAATATTTCACCTCCTAATATAATTATATTAGAAGCTGGCGATAAACCTAATGATGATAAAGGAATATATGAATCATGTGAAATGTATCTTGAAGATATTGTTCTTATACCTGTATTAGCTTTTAATAATGAAGGATATTTAGAATTTCAAAAATGTCTTAATATTGTAGCTGATAAATTAATCTTTAAACGTATCTTTAATTATAAAACAATAGCAAATCTGCATACAAGAATTCTATTAGGATCTTGGCATTTAAATAAAGATATGTGTAGAGTTTTAATTAATATTTTTTCTGGTTATGGAATTTTTAATTTTGCTGCTGCACTTGGTGCAAAGTATTTGACTAATTTTCAAAAATGTGATGTGTTGATTATCAAGCTACTTCAAGAACTTTAGATTTAATTTGGATAATAGTAGGAATAGCATTACATTTATATATGGCAATAAATTCAGTTACTATTGATGATATTTTTAAATCAAAAAATGAAATTGTAAAAGTTTAGGCATATTATTGGCAATGAGCGGGATTATGGAAAAGTCACAAAATAGGTATACAAACTGGAAATTTTGATATGCAAATTGAAAATTTAAAAGCATTTTCTCCTTTATTTTATGTAGCTAGAAAATTAAATTATGCAAACTTAGTAGTATATGCTTTACAAGAAATAGATTCAGATCCATGTTTAGAAACAATCCTTTACAATGTAGCTTCTGTAAATATAATACGGGCTAATCATTTTTTTGCATTTGATGAGGCACTTGAAACTTATGGAATTAAATTTATCAAACAATCTTTAACATCACGTGTAATAGATTTAAAAACAATTAAATTACAAATTGAAGCAGCACAATTTGAAGTTGAATGATTAAAAACACTATTAACAGAATTTTTACAAATAAAAGAATCAAAAATTACAAATGATCATCAAAAAAATAAATTATTTGAAAATTATCAATGGAATTATTTGATTTATTTAAAAATCCATTAAATATAAAACATAGATTTTTGCAAACTACGCCTCAAATGAATCAAATTGGATATAACAAACTTGCTATGTGTTATAAAAATGGAAAAATACGTATGAATAAATTGTATAAACAAGAAGTTACTTATGAAGAACCAAGAAATACATCAGGAAGGTGTACTACTGAAGTTGTAGTTTATACCTATGAAAAAATTCAAAAAATATTTAAAGAAACAAAAAAAAATATCAAGAATAAACCAATATTATAACCACAAAATAATTCTAATTTGCAACCTGAATCCTCTACTACTAGAACATGTAGAAATATATCTATTGAAGAAAATAGAGAAATATTACATAAAAGAACATGTAGCAGAGCTACAAATGAAGAAGTTAATAAATTACAACCACTTATTGAACAAAATGAAAAACCAACATCTGAGCAATTAGAAATGGTAGGAAAAGAATTAAATTGTGATAAAAAAAGAGTCAGCAATTATATTAATTATAGAAGAAATAAAAATAAAAATACAAAGTAAAAAATAATAAATGTTAAATATTTTTTATTTTATTTATTTAGAATGCACAAAATACAAAATGTAATTGAATTTTTTAAATAAATTATCAATAATAAAAAAAATATCATATTTCTAAATATAAATATATTTAAATTTGCAATTTTCATGATATTTTTTTTAATAATCTAAATGCGTTATAATAAAAAATTGTAAATTGATTATAATTAAATAATAATATAAAAATTATTTAATTACTCTTAAATATTTTAACTTTTAACTAAAAAAAAATTTTTAATTTATTTTAATTTCTAATAAAGAAACAAATTATTTTTCTTAAATACAATTTGAATTAAAAGATTAAATAATAATTTTTATTTTAATTAAAAATTAGGTTAACGAAAATTAGACTTATAGTAAATAATATGTTGTGTAACAAAAATTTTTAATTGGCAAGACTGAATTTCTGTATCTTATAAAATAGTAGAAAAATATAAAAAAAATATATCAGATAATCATTTTAATAAAATTAATTAATATTTTGAAAAAAATAAAAATAAATTATTTTGTTTTAAATATTGATGATTATTATTCAATACATAGAAAACATTCAGTAGAAAAGGGGGAAATCCAAATTTTGATCAAAATTTATATTATTGGACCACTTAGCTGGATTTCCCCTTTTTCTACTGACTGCCTCCTACATAATTATAGAAATCCAAATATAGCATCTTTTTTATTTATATATCATATGGGAGGTTTGCTAGGAAAATGAGATTAAAATATAATAAAAATTAAAAATTTAATAAAAAATGCTTAGAATCTCATTTTCCTAACAAACCTTCTATATGATAACATATGTTGCTAAAACTATTAAAGGAAATTCTCCTATATCAGTAATAAAAATAATATTTTAATTCATAATTCTAAAAATATTAAAGATTAGAACATCAATTATTATTTAATATATAAATATTTTGATTTATTAAATTAAAGTTATAATATAATTAAATATAATTTACAAAATAACATTTAATTATTATGAAGAAATTTGATAGAATAGGAATTTTAACTATTTATTCATATGATGATTCTATAAAATAATATCAAAATGATAGATCAATGATAAATTGTTATTTAGTTAATATAAAAAATTAAATCTTAAAAGTTTAGATGATTATTTAAAAGTTATTAAAATAATAATAGATATTTCTTCATTAAATACTTATTTTCAAGAAAATATAATACCAATTATTGCTGATTTTTCAGGTCAATTATTTATAAAAAAAGCAATAACTTTACTTAATAAACAAAAAAAAAAAGAACAAAAAATTTCAACCAAAATTTCTAATATTATTAATAACTTTATTATAATTCTTGGATTATTATATGTATCATTAAATATAAAAGAAAATATAATATTAATTTATTGTGATTTTTTTTGAAAATTATATAAATTAGTTTTTGGTAAAAATAAAATATTAGCAAAAAAACCTAAACTTTAAAGAATTAATTTACTTTTAGTAGATGTTATTATAATTATAATAATATCTATTTGCATCATAGTGGTATCTACTTAGCATAGTATTATCTGCTTATGTCAATAGTAATGCCTACTTGCTTGTTTTTGATGTTCTGTAGTCTTTTTATTGTCTTATTTCTATCTGCTTGTTTTTATTGTTCTGTGGTTTTTTGTTACTTTGTAGCTATCCGATTGGTATCAACCTCCTGCATCTGAATGGATACCAATTTCTATATTAGAGTTGTTGGCTTTCTATAGCTTTTTAGATATCTGGCTTTATGTTAAAGATGCTAGTATACTGTATCTGGTTGGATGCTTAATTCTATATTGGGGTTTGCTAACCTTCTGTAGCTGTTTGGATACTTGGTTTTATATTGAAGGTGTTGGTTTTCTACGCCTAAATGGATTCTCAGTTCTATATTGCAGTACTTACCTTTTGCATCTTTTTGATTTCCTGTTTAAATACCAAATTATGGTAAAAAAATCATATTAGATGATATCTAACAGAAATCTGCGTAATGTCATATAATCATGCAATTAAATTCAGGTGATCTAATTAGCTAAAATATAATATAGTATATAGTTTTTTCCCAAACTTTGAAGGATAATATCTCAACATCTACTGATCAGATCTATGTGAATTTAGGCTTTTTTAAACGTTCTTCTTTTACTTTATCTCTATACTAAATTTCAGATGGATCAGATATTTGCTTACGAAAATATTCCGTCACAAAGTCTGGCAATTTTCTTCTTCCTTATAGAAAGATATCTTAAATACCATATTATACCTGGATACATACCATCGAGAATAAGTCTTCTTCCATTATTTTATATAATATTTTTAAAGAAGAATTCATATCATATCCAGATACATATCATTAAGTATAATTCTTCTGCTATTATTTTATATAATATTTCTGCAGAAGACTTATCCAAATACTCATACCCAGATATATATTCAGATGACTTTCTTTTATGTTTTGCTGACTAGGTTTGCTATTGCTTCTGCGAAAAATAGTCTAACTATTTTCTTTAGAATCAGGGTAAGTTTTTCTCCTAAAGAACTTTAATCGAAGACTGAATTTATGAGAAAAAAGCATGTGTATTCATTTTTTGCATCAAAGGAATATATCCTTCTTTTTGGTATACCTTTATATTATGCAAAGACTATATTATGCCTGAGTACATATCTAGAAAATATATGCTTCTCCTATATTTATATATTATAATTACAGACAAGCATATATTTTAAATACATATTCAATTGCCTTCCTTTTTATATAATAGATTATGCAGAAAACTATTTTAAGTATCATCTATTTGGAATGTGATTTTATGCTAACCTGCTATACATCTTTTTTTGTATCTATCAAAAAGATAAGTCTTTTGCCATTTTTATATAATATAATTATGCAGAAGACTTATCCTCTAGATGTATACTATTTTGCCTTTCTTTTGCGATTTGCTTATTATGTTCACTATCATCTTTTTTGTATCCAAATGCATACTAGTGATAGGTTAGTCTTCTTCTATTATTTTATATAATATAAATAATATACCCAGATATATACTAGTAATAGGATTAAAGATGAATACCATAATTAAGAAGTTGCAACTCGGTAAGTTACAACTTGAGTTGCAACTTAAGTGTTGCAACTTAAGTTGCAATTAGTTAAAAATTTTAAAAATAATTATGGGAACCATCTTTAGATAGGATATTCTTCTTCTATTTTTATATAATATAATTACGAAGAAGAATACCCTGATATTTACCTATTGGAAACATGTTTATTTTCAATTTTTTTTACTACTTTACTATACATTTCTTTTTACATTCATTAAAAAAAATAAACATTTCTGATTTTTATAAAGTTATATAATCCTTTTCGAATTGACAACATATATTCCTCAATTATTTCAGATTAAACTGATTTTACTAGATCTGAACCAATACTCGTCTACTATGAAAGCGTCAAATCTGATGAATATTTAAGTGACTCTAGTAGTTGTACTGATAATAGATCTAACTTAGGATCAGATTATTATAATAACTGCGAGTCTAATTATGAGTCAGATAATGAAGAAACTCCTGTGTCTCAACCATCATTATCTTGTCTCAATCAATTCAGCTACTAAATATAAATGAGCAAAAGGCTAATATGATATATACTTTTAGGCAAGAAAAGTTTAATAATAATTTTTCTTCTAAGGACTTGCTAAATGCCATTTAGGAAATTTTTTCATTACCGCCTAGAGATATGTCAGATGATAAAGGCTTATTGGAATATCTTCCAATTTATTCATTCCTCTTATTGAATACAAAAGGCTCTAATTTGTATAATGCTTATAACTAAGGTTGCTAGATGAAATCAAGAGTTTAAATAGACGTCTAAATGGTAAAAGTAAACTTGATTAAATTATATTAAAACCTTATTTAAAAAATTTGCGAAATTTGGAAAAAGGTAAAACTATATCAAAGCTTATAAAAATGGTGAAACTATATCAGACACTTAGTAAAAATTTAGCAAAACTAAAAGTTTAACTATTTTACCAATCCAAAATGAGTTTAGACAAGCAACCTTACTTATGACTGAAATAAAGTAGAAGATAAATTGGTTATCAAAATCAACCAAGATAATCAAGCCCAAAGTTTTCTGTTGCAAATGACATTTCAAAAGTATATAGTTTGTTCAGGATTCATGAATGTATTAATGATCAAAAATTTTTAAAGGCTATAATTGACATTAATGCTACATAAGAGAATATGGAAGTAAATAGAGTTAAGCCTAATAGTGTATTTATCTATATCTGTTACTCTTTTATAAGAGCTTTGTATCATATCCTTGATTATAGCTAGAAAGACATTCTTAAAGAGCTAGTAATCACTACATCATCAGATCCTAACAAGTGTAACTACTATATTTTATATATACAGTCATACCTCTCTATAGCGAATTTTTATATAACGAATTTTTTGGACAACTATATTAAATTTACCCTCATTATAACGAACTAGCTAATCAAATTCTTTAAAAAATTCACTATAGCTCTATAGCGAAGTTGAAGTTCAGGACATAAAATTCGTTATATCAAGGGTTGACTGTATTGGCTTTTCTTATTGAACATCATAAGCTTAAAGCATTCACTGAATTAGTATATACCATAACCAGTAAAAAATTTAGCAAATATATTGATAGAGGATTGCCAAATCAAAATTTTAATCTTTGTCTTACCAGTTCTGCAAAAAAAAGTCATATAAAATATATCCTTCAATTTTCATTAGATAATAGATGAGATAATTTTAATTATACTAGAGTCTAGCTACCTAAAGTTCAACGTTTGAAGTAAGACTCCACATTCTAACGTAGAAAATAATAATAATCTGTTACCAAAGATAAGTTATGATATATTACAAAAATGTGCAAAGCTAATTTTACAGAAGTATACTAATTATCTTGGAAATTATATTATCGAAGAAAAGGACTAAGAAAACTTTGTATATTTTAACTGAAAAGCTTCACTAGAATGTTTACTCTATAAACATATATATAATAAAAATCAGCAGTGATT